GCCTATGCTACTGAGCTATCTCCGCAGCTTAAGGGTGCCCATACATTATATGTCACTTTCAATGACTGTGTACCTAAGAATAGCCAGTTTGACTATACTTTTCTGAATTCTTGGATGCTAGGTGTTTCTAAGTTTTCCTTAAAGTACCAATTAGTCACTTCCCTGCCATTGAGCATCCACAACTTAAAGGAAAGAAGTTTATTTTGGTTCTCAAAATATTTACCACTGACAACTTCAAGGAGTTTATTTTAGTTCCTTCTAGGGTTGGAGCACACCAAGGCAAAAATAGCATGGTAGAATAGTGTGGTGGAGGGAAGTCCCCCACACCATGGCAGCCAGGAAGCAGACAGAATGACGGAGCCAGCGTTAAGGGCACATCCTTCCTAGTTCTGCCCCCAGGGACCCTCCCCCAGGCCTAACCTCCAAATCTGAGACTCTCAGGAGATATTTTAGATCTAAACTATAATATAATCAACTTTTTCTGAGCATTTTTAAGTTCCATGTTGGTCTACTTAGCTAACTAATAATACATAAATACATTCAGAATTTGAAATTGAAGAAACTACAGAGGATAAATAACAATAAATGAAATCACTAGAGAAATAAAACCTAAGCCCCCTAAGGCCGTTTTTAGCAGAGCTACAGATTACATCACCCACAGAGGAGCTCAGGGAGGTCTGCACACAATACTGAGCAGCAGTACTAGAAATACCTAGAGATTCAGTGCCAACAATCCTTGGCTGACTGCCACCACAAGCAGCATCTGTCAAGCATTTGTATGACTTAGCTACACTACAGAGCAGTTCTGTTACCTAGTTCTCAACGTTTCGGTTAATTATACTTCCAAAAATAATCTATAATGAAACAAAAACTAGCTGAAAGCTTAATATATTTGAGGAGGAAACTAGTGTGCTAGCATTTTGGAGCAAATATTCCAGAACTACCTCCCAATTTTAACAATGCACCAATAGGTCTGAGGTCTGCAAAAGAGTGCCTATCAAAATTGAAAGATGGTGATGAGGTAGATGTTTTTTCTCCCAAACTTTTCCTAGTTTTCCTTCCTCTCTAAATCCCCGTCCCCAACCCCCTTGTCTAGCCTGGCCAACAATTCAATCATCCACAATCTGATTCCTCTCAGAGTAAAACCTATCTGTCTATTACAGTGTATAGTTACTAGAAACAGCAAGAGCATCAAAGACAATGCACTATATCCAAACCCTGAGCCCAAGTGGGCAGCTGCACAGTACCACAGTTTTCACAGCTGACACTGACAGCTATCACTACCAACACTGAAGGGCTTGCTGGTGCCAAACAGGATGTCCGTGCTAGGAAGTTCTTGGGCTATAAATGTTATATGGTGTCGTAATAAGCAATTCCATGCCAAGACACTTAGGCTGAGACTAACCACTGAAATCCACATGGGAACTGTGGTGAGCACATCCTCGTGAACCTAGTGCTCTGAGGAGCGTAACATTTAACACCTCCATGCACAAGCCTATGGGGAGGAGAATCTGGTTCACTACAAAGCTCAAGGCACTAATGATAACCTCCTGGGTATAGTGAAGGACTATGATAGATATGACAATAAGCAAAATTCAAGCGAAGACCACAGCTAAGTTTATTGCCTAGAGCTTATCTAAAATTGAAATGATGAAGGTGAATATTTTAGGACAAAGCATGAATCAAAGACGCACCTTTCACCTGCCCTGCTCCAGAGGCAACATCTCACTGCTTTGATATAAACAGGAAGAAGACGAGAGGCAGAGGACAAGGAAAAAGGAGGAGGAGGAAGGGGGGGAGGAGGAGGAAGAAGGGGGGAGGAAGAAGAGGAGGAGGAGTATCACAGACCCTGGGTAAACAGAATTTCAACGTTTGTTTCTTGATTAATTTCTTTTCTCTCACATTTTATCCTACCCAATTCAATATACTGTAATTTATTCCTCCAATTCTGGGTGTCTGAAACATTTGAATAAAAACAAATGACAAAAAAATTATTAATGAAGAATTTTCTGCTAAAGCTTTTTAAAAATGATTATTTAACACAGAAGCAATAGCTGGCTCTCTTACTACTGACTTTGTCCTAGTAATAATTCCCAACATTCACAACACACTAAGAATTTTACACACATTGCCTCGTTCTCTTCTCAGGCTAACTCTGAGGTATGTGTAGGATTTCCACAGATTTCCAAATTTGCAAGATCATATCATTTGTGTGTGATGGAGCCCAGTATTTTGCTCATATCATCTGCTTAACCTCCCTGTTGGCACGTGAGAGAAGGTACTTTCTGATCAATACAGCTCAAGTTCATCCACCTTACATCACATGCCCTTGCTGTTTCTAAAGGTGTCTTTTAGAATGAATCTCCACAACGGCTTCACCAACTATGAATCTGCCTGAAGCACAGCCTGGTGACAAGCTGTGGGTCAGATGAAAGGTCAGCAGCGCCAGCAGTTAAAAGGATGGACCACTGGCTTAATCTCCTGTTAAAATTACAGAGAGAAGTAACTCAAAGCACTGCTGACACAGAAAACTGGACCCAGAACAAGGTCTCATTTATCAAAAGAGAGAGCAAGTTGGAATTTAAATCAAAGGTAATGCCTTTTTTGATTTTGGGGGTCAACTAGCTCACCCTGGTGGACAGAAAACTCAACTACACGATTGCCAATTTCCTCCCATACTGACTCATATTGCACAAAAATTGAGGAAACTGATTCAGGCTACTTGATATACCTCAGGATTCAAGTTTATACGAACTCGCTGAGGTCTACATATCATACAGAGTTTATTACATGAATTATGTTAGCAATTCTGTATCTGAAAATTTGCCAATGTTATGTAGGAACTTTCTAAGGTCTTAAATATAAACCCAGGGTTTGCTGAAAACAATAAATGTATCAAGAATTTCTACTACGCAACAGAACCAATTATCTATTTTGTATAAGATTAAAGTAGCAGTTTTTGACCTGGTAGAAATCACCTAAACATTAACAAAACTTGACCATTAAATAATTACCTCAATACTTATTTTTCCATATTTACTTAGTACTTGTTAAGTAACAAACTCTATACTATGCTCTGAAAAAAAAAAAAAAAAAAAAAAAAGCTAATAAGCAATTCCACTACTATGCAGAGGGAAAAAAACAAATCGATGCTACAGAGACCCTGGAGTCACCTCACACGTATGATCAGAGGGCCATGACATGGGCCTCAACAACAGGGAACTGCAAACGACCCCAACATTCATCAACAGTGAACAGCCCAAATGCCTATCAATTGTAAACTGAAAAAAGCAAGGTAGAGGGCCTGCCCATTAGCTCAGCTGTATAAGTGCCTGCTTACGCAAAACAGTCAGGCTCAGGATACTGTGGTTGGATCCCCAGATCCTCAAGCCTTATCGGACCTGCCCTTAAGGCACAACAAGCCAGCCAAAAAAAAAAAAAAAATTCATCTCAACTTCACAAAAAAAAAGGCAAGGTAAGAACGAATCAATGTGAATCTCTGTATATAAATTCTTAAGGCAAATATTTAGATGTACACATATTTTTAAAGTGCCCCAGCCTGGGAGTGCAGCTCAGCTGTAGAGTGCATGCTTATCCTGCACAAAGCCTCGCATTGGACCTGAGTGTGTGTGTACTTGCACACTCACATGTGCACGCACACACACAGACCTAGGGATGTAGCTCAGTGGTACATTACTTGCTTACCATGATGTATCCTTAGCACTGCAAACAAAAATGTGTTAAAGCCTTAAATTATTAACAACAGTTACTTTTAAGGAGGAGGACTTGGGGTAGGAAGAATCTGTGTTTCATTAGTATTCTTCAGAATGAGTATGTATTCTTTTCATTTAAACAGTGAAATTTTATATTTTAAATATATCAATAAGTCAAATCACTGTGTCAATAAGACCTTTATTCCTAACCGACTTGAAACATGTCTGACTTAATGTGCCACTTTGCACCTAACAGCACATGTACCCAACAAAGGATCCTACTGTAAAATAGGGCAGAGTCATCTCCTGCAGTTCATGAAACTCTCAGGCTTAGTTTTCATTAAACAAGTCAGCCTACCCAGCCTCTGGGAGGCATGGATATGAGGACAGCTGAGTCCAGCTTCTTCATAAAACTGCTTGTAAAAAAACTGGGCAGGCCATATCAAACTTATTGTACAGAGAAGAGAAAGAGAACTGGTCTTCTCCCACAAACAATGATACTCAAATGTCCCAACCACAGAGGGATGCTCACCCCTCTCAAGCACATTATTAAACTACCAATGTCCTATGTTAATATCCCTAAATTTACTAAAAATAAATAGAAAATGTTAAGAGGATTCCAATTGCTCTAAATGAAAACGTACTTCAAAAGAACAAAAATGGATGCACCATGTCTATAATGTTAAGTGAAATAAGTCAGGCATACTAACTTTCACAAATACATAGCAAAATAAAAGCTAATGGGAAGTACGGACAAAGAGCTCTTACAAAAAAGAAGGGACTAGAGATGGAGGGAGGGGGAGGGGAAGAGGGAGAGAAGAAGAGGGTGGAATAAGAATTGAGCTGCGCTATAAGCACGCACCAGCTCCCTCAGGAAATGTGATCACTAGGCACTGCAAACACCACATAGTAATAAAATACAAAAATTTTAAAAAGCAAAAATGAATTAATGCACTCAGTATTTCCTAGCCATATATATATACTTTTTTTTCCAACCCAAAAGTCAAATAATGTATTTTTCAGTCAAGGATGAAGAACTCATTTCCAAAGTTAGCAATCCAAATTATATTTTCAGGGCCAGGTAGATGGCTCAGTAGAATAAGCGCTTGCCTGGCAAGCGCAAAGGTCTGAGTTCAAATCCCTGGTTCCGCAAAAAAAAAGAAAAAAAAGAAACCAAATTATATTTTCATGTTGTGACACAATTAAAGTCACAACAGAGAAGGCAGTAAACTCAGTACACTATGAGATTTTACAATTAAAAGATCAACCTGATTTGGTGCTTCTTACCGAATCCAGCATGATCTTGTTCCTGCCTGTTTTCCAAGGAGGCCACCATTTTGGAATACGCATCACACCACCAAGGACGATACTTCAAAATCTGCTCAACTGCCTCATTTTCAAAGAAGTCGGCTCTGAAGAAAAAAGAACAGTGCATGTATCTGTAACCCTGGATCAGACTGGCTTTCATTTTTTAAAACTATATCTTAACTTATCACACACACACACACACACACACACACACACACACAAATATATATATAAATTATTAACCCAAGTACATGTCCAGGAAAGTCTGAGCACTGTATTTACTTTTTTCATAGTTACTAATTACCATAAAACAAGAAGCATCACCTAATGAAAGAAGGGTATTTGACATCTGTGATCTCTTTAAACAGAGGGGACTTAGCAGGCCAACCTTATCTCAAGGTCCCATCTCAAAGTTAGTGGTGTGGAATGAGGGAGGCTGACCACACACTTAACTGCAACATACCACTTGTATTACATTTGCTAGTACTGCTGATTTTGCTAAGGTTAAAGGCAAAATCTTCCAAACACACTGCAAAGAAAGACGAATGATGAGGAAATTCAGCATACAGCATCACCAAAAGGAGCATAAGAAGGCCACACACACATACACACACACACCATTCTTTAGCATGTGTACCAACACTTATAATAAGATGAAAGTTACTTCATTTAGCTATGCTAATCTTAAAAGAGTTTTTTTTTTTTTTTTAATTTTAAACTACTGCAAAAGATAAAACATCCTTTGGAAAGACCAGAAAATTTTTGTTCCTCAGTTTCACTCTCAGTTTTAACACATTCATACTATACCTCTCACTCTAGGACAAACATTCAGAAATTTCACTATGTTGTGCTCAAGACTAGAAATTGTTATTCTTAGGGGAAAGCATGACAAAGCACAACTCAGAGTGAAAGGTTTCATTTATGCCTCAGTTAACTGGATTCAGGTATTGGTTGCTTTGAGAAGCTGAATTTTCTAGCTAATAGTTTTACAACTTTACTTTCTCTCTTTCACAGGACAAACTGAAATCTTTTTCAAATTAAAAAAAGTCAAAGATAACTTCCTGGATCCTTTGCTGCAGACATGCACTAAGTGTTTTACAGCTCTTCCAGCTTCTCGACTTCTCATCCTGCCACGGTGGTATCATTTTTTAGGGATTTATAAAATGTAAACTTAGCTTTTAAAAAAATGTATTAGTACATGTCTGTTTACGTTCATCGTGGAGAGTTGGTACAAGGTTGTATCACATCTTAACATTTTTCCCTTCCCCAGCCCACCTCCCTCCCATCCCAGGCTGGGACCTTTAAGACCCTCATTTTAATGTATCTTGGCCAAGTCCTGAGAATCAGAAAGAAGTGTGGCCCAGATGTGGACCCACGTAAGCCTATTCCAGAGGTCAAGCTCTTTTCTTTGATTTCCACAGTGACTGACTGACACTAGAGATAGAACCCATCACCTCATGCAAGCTAGGCAACTGCTCTATCTGCTACACCTCCAGCCACTCTCTGTTGTATTTTATGTACAGTTATGTGTCAACATACCATCTGCTATAATAAAGTCAAGAATGAAAACTAATCACAATTGAAAATGGTATCCTAAGTGAAAAATACGATCATTTTCATGGCTTTTCTTATCTCACAGAATGCTACAGTAATGATTAAGTTCTGTTTTCTCCTAACTTATAAGCTGGATGTTTTGTTTGTTTGTTTGTTTGTTTTTGGAAATGGGGATGGAATTCAAGCCCTTGTGCTTGCCAGAGAAGCGTTTATTCTACTGAGCTATCTCCTCGGCCCATGGATATTTTAAAAACTGCAGTATTTTTTTTAAAAATTGGGAATGGGAATAAGTCTACACTCAGAAAAACACAAAAACCTGGCTATAAAAAAAGAACAATTATAAAGGAGTGCTTCAAGATGCTGTCAACATACTTTAGTGTAAAAATCTCCAAAAGGACTTATAAATCACAAGAGATAGATAATTAAAACAATAAATTTTATAAGTTATATCTATTACATGCCCAGCCCTTGCTGGGCTATAAAATAAAGTAAAACAAAACAAAAAATAAAATATATCACATCTATATTGTTTTATAATAAAGATTTCTAAAAAAGTAATAATCTATGTATTTGTAGTCGAATGTATAAACTCTTCAAAACGAATTTATACTTGATTGTCGTCTGCTTAGGTTGAAATCAAAAGTAGTATTTATCAAGTCCCCAAAAATCTAACATGAAATTAATCTGTAAATACAGAGTAAACAATTTAAAAATACAAGACATATTACACTAGTACAATATATACTAGTATTACATGTGAATAAAACATGTACACATGTACATGTTTAAGATAATAAATTATATGGATTATCTGCATGGTTGATTATAAGGAATTTAAAGTGAGCTGGTTTTTCCACTATGTTAACCATTAATTAAAGACGCACTGAGCTAAAAAACTTTTTTTAACTGAAAACTTAAATTTGTCAGGATTTTCTGCCGAGTTCCGGGAGCCCCCAGACCCAGTCCTAGTCCAGGTCCGCAGGAAGGAGCTGAGCACAGCAGGCAGACCCAAGCCAGACGCAGCTGGATAAGTCCAAACTCTGTAGAACTCCACCTTAACTTCAGTAGGTGTGAAGGTTATAACTACAGCAAAGATCTACAACAAAGGGCAGAGGACAGTGCTACACAAAATGACGAGAAGGAACAAA